ACAGTAATAAGTGTGAGAACAAGGGGCATGGGTAGATAAACATTCAAGATAATCGTTCAAAATTTGGAAGATTGCTTGAAAACACTTGATTATCTTTCTTGTTGCTATTTTTGTTTATTTAATGGGGAAAACATTGAGCGAAAGTACTAGAGTTTTAATCATGTGTATTAAGAGTTATTTTAGATTTATGATTGAATGTTATAGCTTTTACTAAATCAGACTCATAAACTTTCTCATCTTTCAAATTTTTACAGTAAAACTATCTTTCTTTATAAACGCTGTTAAACTGTAAGATAAATACAACTGCCTGATATACCCCCCCCACACACACACACACCCATCCCCACATATATATGTAAGCAGTACTTCCTTTATGCAACGGAAAGCTAAGTTTTCAAGATTAAATCAGCTACTGACTGCTAGCTCCTTAGAGACATCTTTTAACCTTCACGACTTACTCGTCTAGTATTATTTATATTAATGATTCACAACAAGTGAGGTAACGTACCTTCGACCTTTTGACGTTTGAAATCACGCTTTCTTTTACAAACAACACTGATCTTATCTTTCTCTGTGTTTGTCTTATCAGTAGTTTGCACGTGATACTAAGCGAATGTTTGTTGAGCATTCGTTTATTGACGTCACTGAAGAATGGCACACTAGTTAGAAGAGTTCGAGGCAAGTATTCTATATCATCAAATCCCTAATCATAAAAAGGGAAAAGGAGTCAGTCATGCTCATTGGTTCAATCGAGAAGAAGAAGGCAGAATATGATTCTGATATATTTTTATTGTAAATATTGTCAGTTACCCGAAAAAGCTAAAGAGGAGTTAAAACAACGAATAAATATCAACACTCTGCAAAATATGTATTTTTTAGACATTGATTTGATAGTTATACCTGAAATACCTGCCACTGAAATATGACAATTATGTAATTCTATAATTTTCCGACAAGTTACGTAGATAGATGTGGTTTGGTTTCAAATTCTACTTGATTTTATTTGTTGTTTCGTCAGAAAATTATGAAAAGTATACGAGAATCTACCTTAATGTTCGTGTTTCAGCATTAAAGAAGTGTCATAGTATCTATGTGTTCTGCTTTAAAATTTTGGTTATTATGTATATTGCGGTAAAATCTTCTATCAGGGGTTAGCTTGCGCTCTATTCAGAAAAGACTATCATGAGTGTTGCAGTAAACATTCTATTATATTTAATTTAAGAACAGAAAACTGGGGATCAATTTCATTGAAATTTACAATAAAAAAAGACGTTCGAGTTTAAATGCTATTGCACAAACCTTGCTTTCCAACTACACAAATGAATTTGGTTATTACAAATTCTGTGCGTAACTTGCACGTTCAAAAGGGCCTTGGCTATGACTGTTAAAGTATACAAGGGTTTAATAGGTGCTCTGTAAAAAACGTTTGGTTATCGTGACTTGCAATTACAGTTTACCATCTGGTTCGGCCGATCTTTTGTAATGAAGTCTTGGCTACCATGACTGTTGCAGTTAAATCTTCCATCTAGGTTGGCCGGTACTTTATAATGAAGCCCTGTCAACCTTGGCCATTACAGTAAAAACTTTGACCAGTGGTTAACCAATGTAAACACTGCAACAAGGACTTAACGCACCAAACTATGATGACAACGTATAACATAAAACTAGATGACTGAGTGGACATTGTTGCTATTTGGTTAAATCTTCCAATTAATGGTTGTTGAGAAGAGGAAATCCATTGAATATAGCAATAAAATTTCCAAGTTTCCTCCTCCTAAACGGCCCTGCAATCTGATCTTGATCATGGAACATGTACTACCAAAATTATATCACGTTGGAGCAATATACGAAACTCATCTAGCTAACTGTTAGTCTGTTTATAGTTTATATATATATAAGTTATTACACGGGAAGACAGAGATATAGCAACTCTATTGGTTTTAGTTCAGTTTTTGGAAATATCACAACATGCTATGACTGTGTTTGGTATGTAGTGACGTCGAATGGCCTCCTTCCAAATTTACCATTACAACATCTAAATCTGCTCTTATAGCTAGCAACACGAGTGAAACAAAAAACCACTTCTCAGCTGGTGCTCTATTTTGGGAAGAAGGGGTGAAAAGTTTCTCCTAGGACTTTGTGTCTGGAATGAAACCATTTTAGAAATGACTGAAATAGTTCTCCTACGCCAGGGGAATCACGAAAATAGTCCGGGGTAACCAAATTTAGCCGTGTCATGAACGTGGGAAGCGAGAAGATGGCTGCTAGAGAAACAGATACAGGCTAAATGTTAGTTGTTATGTCACTTAGCTGAAGCAGCCAAAAAATGACTAACAGCATTCTTTAGGGTAAATCTAAGTAACATGTCAGATATACAAAGTTGTGATTTATGTAAAGAGTGGATGGTTATAAAAAGCTTTTAGTTTTTGAATTGAGACAGAAATGAGGTCAAAATATTGAACTTTTAACCAAGGAATATTCTTGATTAATACTTATTTCTATAAGTTCTGATAATCAACAATAATGCAAAATCTTCTGATCTCTCATGTAAGTATGTAAAACTTCAAAGTAGTGGACATATGACAGGGAGATTAAAATTGGGTACAATATTGTGTTCGTTGGGAAATCAAACTCATGCAACTAAAACAACAGCATGTATTTATCAGTCACATAGCCTTGTAATTAACAGGTGTAAAAGCCCTATGAATTTATTTTCTAAAACAAAAGTTACAGTCAACTCTGTTACAGACTTGGTAGTGTTTATACATACCGGTAGAAAGTTTTAATTTGCCTCTGATATTTATTTCTTTGTCAATACAATGCCACGACAATGAAGATTTCAAGATATTACATGTGAGATATACGGAGTGAGCCATAATCTGTCCCTCAATAAACACGCCTATCTTCATGACTGAGCTGTATTTGTATGGCCACTGAATTAGTCTACAGTTACAAACATCCAAAGTGTATCCCACCATTGTCAGTTATCATTATTTATAAAAGGTCAGATGAAACACAACATAATTAGCATCCTTTGAGAGGGGGTTGCTAAGATCCAGCTACTATCTGTGGTGTAAAAATCAAAGATGAGGATTACACACAAATAAAAGAACTAGAAAAAAAAACTTGTGAAACTTAGCATGTAAGTGGTATTACTAGTGTTCTAAACACAGGCTACTTTTTATGGTCTAAATTTGTTTGTTTGTTTGTAGTTAAGCACAAAGCTACCCGATAGGTTATCTGTGCTCTGCCCACCACGGGTATCTAAACCCGATTTATAGCGTTGTAAGTCCGTAGACTGGGGGGCTGATGATAAAGTCATCTACATTTATAGAAATGTTTGTTTGTTTTATAATTTTCATGCAAGGTTACATAAAGGTTATTTAAGCATATCAGTCTCTAATCTTGAACCGATAGACTAGATAGAAGACAGCTAATCAATAGCACCCACCGCCAACTCTTGGGTTACTCATGTTTAATCGAATAATGAAATTTGATCACCATTTTATAACGCAGCCACAGCCACAAAGTGCGGAGCATGTTTTTGCGGTAGCTAGATGCGAAGCACGAACCTTGATATTCACAATCCAAGCACGTTAACCAAGAGGTCACGCCAGGCCCGTTTTAAAATTATAGATCATTGTCTTTATTAAGAGCGTTTAATGGATAACAAACAAATATTATTCTGTTACTATAATTTAGTCCGGCACAAATAACAAATTGTATTTTTTCAAAGTTACTGATGAAAATAAAAAAATATTTGAACAATGTTAGTAAAGTTGATTTCCTAGATGGGGAAAATTCTTCTGCATACAAAATCGAAAGGAAAGTTTCATATTTTACCAACAGGTAGCGCTGAGAGATTCCTCATAACATCACAGTAGAAATGATGAGACAAGGTTTTACCAACTTCACCTCTCTGCGAGATGAGATGATCCCACACTTGCGTCAAGATTCATGGTTGCCATGGCAAAGTTTGCTCAACAGGTAACGCATATTGTACAAGATGGAGAAACAGATAAAAGAACTACCTATATTATTTTTCATAGTATTAAATAATTAATTTAAAATTTACTTTTACTTTGGTTTTCTTGCTTTCTTTTGAAACTAAGTGATGATTTTTGTCATTATTTTTAGAAACAACCAGTAGTTCTATTGACTACTCAACAACCACATGATCTGGAACACTGCTGGATCGTTAGAATATTTTACTTTAAATTACCAGAATCATTCTACTCACCCTATGGTAACCCACACTTGAGAATTAAGTGAACTGTACGAATTAAGTGATAAATAATCGTTTATCTCAAACAGAATTGACAAAACTCTACTATAAAGTATTATCAAATCTCAACCCACTAGTACGTCTTTCTCAGATCTACAAAGTATAAAGTTCAGCTCATAGCTCTCTTTTCTTGAACACTAAAAAAAAGTTGGCGGATGAAGTGTGAAATTAAATGTGCAGATATATTTGTTAGAATAAAAAAAAATTAATAACGAAAACTAAACACGAGCTCTTGTTTCTTCGAATCATTGTTGATTTGATATTTTTAGTTGTTCATTAATAACTGTGTTTTATAAAACGTAAATAACTTCAATACATGTTTTCCTTTTGTTTAAGATAAAGAAAAACGTTTGAGAGCAATGGCCTTATTTGTGAGAGCTGGATAATATATCTTTGTTTATACAGGTAAGTTCGCCTACGCATAATAACTTTTATGTGGGCGATTTACGAAAAACCTGAAGCAAAACGTTACGAAAGAAAGTGATGGTTACGAATGCGTTAAACACACACTTTCATCAAACAATACTAGCATATGTTATTACCCAATTCCTTCTACCGCTTTACATAGCTACCTTTATTGTGATTAAAAGAATGCTTTTCAATTTAATTCCCATCCTGTATTTTTAGTGAATTACAAGAATAAGGTGTTGTTTAATATAATAGGAGGTAAGTATATAGAAGTGGGTAGTCCTCACTGGAGTTGTGTCATACTCACATCCTTGTAGCTTCACTGCATGACTGCGTCGTCTCGCAGTGAAGCGCCATCTCCCACATTCCATCATCCACGCAAAGAGTTACTGCTGAGACTACCACCTCTTGTTACGCCTGGAAAGCTTTTCTTTCGTTTTCTGTGGTAACATGACTGCAAATCCCTTTCAAAATGACAGACAATCAACATATGCGGTAATGATGTTTGTAAAACGCCTCGAGAATTAATCATGATTGTTGAATTATCTATAGCAATGTACTGCTTTCGATAACCAGCATCTTAATGTTCAAGAACTTTGTCGCCATCTTGGATACAGCGGTAATCCGGACGTAGTACGTCATTGGCGGAATACTTCAGATAAACTCGAGCACGTGAACATTGCGTGCTCTGTTCAAATGGTGTATTAAAGTAATAAGCAATTTTTTCAATGCTCGAATCGCAATTTCAGTATCTACATCCTATAGTGTACAATCTGTGTGGGTATGTATATTTATATATATATAAACACGTGTGGATATAAATATACTTTTGTGTGCTATCAGGTAAAATAAAATTACTCAAAACTGACATACGATGTTATGTGAAGTTATACATCAGATTTCTTAGGGTCATATATACAGTCAATTTAAACACTCAAACAAACAAAAATGTTTCCAACGTAATTATGGATACAATAATTGTAATTACTTATATCATATCGAGTAAAATTATTTGAAACTCAATGTAAAGATAATATAGTTCATAATGGGTAAAACTTCAATGGCAAGTAATTCAAGGATTTCTTCCCGGATCTAAAAGATGAAACTCCTCTAACAATTCGTACTTAGAACAGACTGTAACATTATAAAAATCTGTCTCCCGAAACTATACTCGTTTTACTTCTTTGTATATTTATATTTCTTGTTTCATTAACTATCTTTATTGTATTACATTACGTTAAGAATAAAATATTGCAATATCGTGGAATTGTGTGGAATATATTCAATTTTTGTTGAGCATATAGTAAAGGACCACAAAACAAGAAGCTATTGAAAATCATATCTATTTTGTTTGAATTTCTCAATGACTGCTTAATGATCACATACACACTTTTATGTTTGTTCGTTTGTTGTTTAAACTTCTAAATTTTCTGTTTGTATACTCATTTATCTGTGTAATGTTTCTGGTTGGAACGCTGAGGCAGATACGATATAAATACATATGTAAACAAATATAAAACGCTAAAGAGTGGAGCAAAAGAACTTACCAACTATATGAATGAAGAAGTTTAACTTAGACGTTTTATTTTTTCTTCCTCTCACTTGTTATTCAGGCATATACATGTTTGAAGCAACCAATTTATTGACTGATTGATAAATAAATTAACTAGTTAATGAACGATAATTTTATCTGATCTAAACATATACGTTATGTGATATACACTTACAATAAATATAAACGACTCTAGTAACAATTTTTAGTAGTTAAAAAGTTATAAAGTTACTAAGTTCATAGTTTTGGAAACATAATCTCACCCTCTTTTGTTCTTAATTATAAATTTGCCATCTTTCTAAACCGCACTTCATTTCGTTCTTGTTTGTTCGTTTTTATTTATTATGCACTGTAGTATTTATTGTTTATGACTCAATAAACAAAGCTATTCTTAAAGGGAGATACTGATAAATTAAGATTTTTATTACTATAGAAATATAGATATATTGCTAGTGGAAAATCCACAAAGAAGTTAATTAGTGCCATCTAATGAGCATTTAAAGAACTATTACTGAAATCATTTTGAGCAAAATTAAAGTTTGTTTTGTTGTTGAGTAGAAGGTGTCAAGGTTTTAAATATGTATATGTGTGGGCTGAGGATTCTTCTAAAGTAGGTATATTTGACTTGTTGGCGATAAATTCAAACAATAAATGGACAGCATACAATCCCTTTGTTTTAAAATAATATATTCAAAACAAGTCAAACGTGTGTATAAAAATTATTTACACTACGGAATATCACAGTGGTATTTAAAACATTAAATAATTTTCTTTTCTTACCAAAGTCCACTTAGGCTGATTCAATTACAAGCGAACTATTTTTCTATGCTATTATCACAATAGTATCAGTGAATAAGTCACTTACACTACACATTTGTATCTCGAACTTAAAATACTTGTCTTCTTTTTGTCAAAATCCACGCAGATGGGTTCAGTTACTTTAGAACACTATTTTACAAGACAACTTATTCTCCTTATCTCTATTAAACAGTGAAACTCACTTTAATTTTAAGCTATCGCCCGTTATGGCTAATCATTCACATCCCGGCTAACTTCATGTCTTCTAACTTTTACTATTATTTTTTTTTTACTGAATTTCACTTTACTGAACTTTTACTAAACTTGCGCTCGCTTGGTCGCCTATTTATATCTTGCCCGACTGAGGCCTCGAATTTTCGACAAACCAAGCGAGCAGCGCTGTAAGGTAACAATACTTACTTATGGTAACGAGAAAAATACCGAAGATTCGAGTAACGTAACGTCAACATTATTAGTAAAGCCTAAACAACAATATAATTGCAAACACAACGTACCACTCATACAGAGTTTCTTCAACGAAACTTGTCACAACTATCGCGTTTAAAATAATTTCTTTTAACTCTCGTGTTATGGAAAGTAAATTAAATATTAAATCACCAAATAAACTAAATAATAAATCTTACACTAAACACTCTTGATTATCCAACACAAGGGTATTATAAAAAGAGTTTTAGAAGTTATGAGATTTTTTTGTAAAAATCTTGTATTAAGGAAAGAAATTATTGTTGCCTTATTTAAGACCTCATTATAATCAATTGCACAATTTGAAGTTCTTACTATAGTACTATAGATAAACAGCAAAATGTGTGCAAAGACGGGTTACTAGACTAATACCTGCCCCCCAGTGGCACAGCGGTATGTCTGCGGACTTACAACGCTAGAATCCGGGTTTCGATACCCGTTGTGGGTAGAGCACAGATAGCCCATTGTGTAGCTTTGTGCTTAATTACAAACTAATACCTGTTTAAAAAACACTGAGGTGAAGAGTGGTTGGATTTGACTTTTGTTAAACGACAAAGAATTATAAGTGATTTAGTACGGGTGTTTAAAATTGTTAGGGCTTGAATACTTTAATATATTACTCTGAGGATGGTATGACTGAGCGGGAAAATTATTAGGCTGAAAATGCAAATTCATATATAAGCTTTTGAAGCCGATTTTCAGACTTTTCTTCGACAATATTAATTTTCTATCAGAGATAAAAAAACATCATAGCAAAATTTCTCCGACAATATGGTGTGTGTCGTTATTTATTTTCGTTTTTGTTGAATATACATATTGATTCGAAGCGCTACATCAAGCTTTATTTAGCTACTTTGCGTTAGTTATTCAGCAAATGTACCAAGTGTCTTTTTACTATCCCGCTCATTATTTTCATTAGTAATTTTCAAGTAACAAATATATGATAGCGTTGAAAACTAATTTTTTAATATCGTAATTAAATGTCCGTTTGCTAGGGGGACATGCCATTGCGTCATGATGACAAAAATCTAAAAAGTTCATGAAAGTTAAGGCTTTGACAGAATCTGGAAGATTCGTGTATTTCGTAGAAAACTAGATTGTCAGTGACTGAATCAATTAGCAAGTGGTTCAGTTCAGCATTAGTTAAATAAGTTAGACAGTGAGAGTCAGTGTGTCTGTGATTGAATTAGTAAATTAGTCAGCGTGATTTTTATATATGGATAACGAAGAAATTATTCAATTAACTTTATAAACAATTTAGACATGCGTTAATTTCAGAGTTTCTGTGGAAGAGTTTGTAAAGTTAGACCTACTCGAGAACATAGCCTAAAGCAGACGTTATTGAAGATATAAATTAATTCGTTATAGATACGTGGACAAGGCTTCACATTATTATTACAAAATAATCCAGAAGAGTCTGTCCAACGATAGAATACATTACAAGAATAATTTTACAGTTAGTCTGTCTTGCCTTTCAAGACTTTAGTCCTAGCCACTGATTTGTGTAATACATGGGAAGTACAGTATGTAATTTATATTCAAAGTAAGAAAACAGAAAATTTAATGTTTCCGGGGGCACAATGTAAAATTAATGTCTCATACCAGCAATTCAAGGCATAATAGTATATTTTCTTGCTTTGTGTGTAGTGTAGGGAAATAGTTTCATAGGGCTCAGCCACATAAACATATACCTGAGATATTTTGATGACCATAACACACTAAACTACCATTAAGTGTTGTTACGTATTACAATTTCGAAAGGTCTGAAACTGAGTTAACTGATAATTTAAATTTAGTAGTTAAATATATGCCGATATATCTCCAATTTATGATATTTGCCACCAAGATTGATACACACAGTTTCTTTTTTAATGCAAATATGTTTTAATATACAAACAACAATACAATTTACAATAACAGTTACTACAAATAGTTGGTACACACAATGATTTATGTACAAAAGTTTTACAAACTTACAAGCAATATAGAGTCTTCTTTCTAGTCTGAAAC